TGAGGATCACACCACCAGAAGAAGCTCTACGTGAAGTTGGAAAATTGTAGTAACCATTGAACCAAGCTATATCGCTTGCCATTTCAAGCGACTCTTTTCGCTCTTCCTCCCCAGTGCAGACCTTTCTAGCGGTGCGAAACATATTTCTAACGACCGCTCGTTTTACGTAGAAAGGATGAGCTGAGTGATAATGGACAATGATGTTCTTATTGCTAGGCTTTCTGTACCACTTCGTAACAATCTAATCACCCTGTAGCCTCACTTGAACGTTTAAGAAAGGAAGCCAATTTCCGGTCGGTTTCTCCCGTGTTAACCTGATGTGCTCTGATTGTGAATTAAGTAGGCCGAAACACACATCTACTTCTTCCTGTGTCGCACAGACTATGAAGCAATCATCGATATATCTGCAGTAAAGTAAGGGCAGATATTCCAGTACAGGCGCTTCAATCTTGGCCATAAATGGTGTAATTTTATAGATCACTCAATGAATAATACAATTCGCTCACCTCGGTTGAACCAACAAATCTGCTAAGCACGTGCAAAACTCGCACAATGCAAAGTTGAAAATTAGTATCGAATATGTTCTGAGCTGTTTTGTGGTTTTCTTCAAAACCAGAAAAATCAGGAGCATGTTGAAAGCGACCCCAAGAGAGCTAGATAAAGAGTGTATAAGGGTGCTGCATAGCCGAATATAGTTCATCCCCTGAAAATGAATAAACTACAAGTATGGAAAAAGAATATAATTCTCAATTGTGTAGGCCAACATGAGAGGACGAATAATCGTGCCCTTTCGAAATCAATGGCGAATGTTAAAGGACCAAAGTTCTTCAGTAACCGAAATGTTGAGAGCATAATTTCATGGACAGCACCTTGAGATTCTTTACTGTTCTACATACCATGGCGGAAGCCTCAACAGGTCTCCCTCACATTGATAATTTTACACCAGATATGACATTACAGAAAACACAAACTCTAAATGTTTCTAAAAACTTTTTGTATGACGAAGTCTTTTATTAGAGCTTCACTTTCCGAAATCCTCTTTAACCTGGAGGTTGGAACTGATCACTCTGTGAGAATTACTAACACGAAAAGTCTTGGTACGATGCAGCTGTGATGCCTAAAATTATTTCAGGGCTCAATAACAAAATTACGAGAACTCAAAGTTATTGAAGAACTCGAACCGTTCGAAAGTTCAAGGCTATTTTTTGAACTAATTTCTATCATCATGATTTTCATGGACTGTTCACTTCGTGAGTTGGTTTATTCCTGATGTTATTTGTTATCCATGGAATCAAAGCCAAGCGAGCAAACTCTACCAAACTTGTTCTCCTCAAAAAAGAGGTAATTCAGGTTTAGTATAGCCAGGAAGGAAGAAGCGTGTGAATTTTTCAAAGTCTGGTGCATTGTGTCGAACAATGTTACACTCTCAGGTTAGTTTACTTGCCTTATCGACCTCCTCTGTCTTGGACTTATCGCAAACCCCTAGAAGACCAAACAACACTACGAGATTAAAATAGAAGTAAAGACCTGTTCCCTGTGATTATCTTTCCATACTATTCATTTCTCACACCCCTTCTATGTTAAATTTTATCTGAGCGATTGGACTGAACTCTCTGATATACACTGAGCCCACTATAGACCGTTACATGCATAGAAACAGTTATAAGTAATGTTCAATGCATATGTTATCTGACAGAAGCAAGCGAAATTCCATGATAGTTATTAATAAGTCTATACTGCGCTGCTTTTTCCGTGACGTGGCTTACAATTTTGATTTGATACGGAATGGTTTTCATTTTTCTGTTGAACTTCTTATAGAAATTTTTTTTTGGGAACTTGAAACGTTTGAAAAAATTTCACATCTTCAAAAGGGAGCTTGTCACATTTCATTGTGTTAAGTTATTAATAACACCTTTAACTCTAACTGGTTTGGAAAGGAGCAACTTAGTAGGCATCAGTTCAATCAACGAATGAATGGACGAGAAAGCAAATGATGTTGGTCTGCTTCTGATAATTGATCAAACATTGAGTTTAATGAATGCCAGCCATCTGATGCTTTACTACAATATCTCTAAGACAGTAGCGCTCAAAAGTCTTCGGCCAAACGCTTTTTCGCTTTTCGTTCATAACTTTTTCCTTTGTGGAGCATACCGTGCGAAATTTCGATATGTCTACAACATGTTTCACATTAGATAACACTATTTGACTGCAAAGCAGCAATATCCACATAACGAGAGCAAGGTGTTTGTTGAGGTAGCGGAATTCGCTAAAAGCAAAGTTAGTAACGTCTGAAGTTATTCGCACCTTACGCGCGTTATTCTCATCTACACTAGCACTCGTAAACTTAGGACTTCGCAAAAAGGAAAGAGTTTCCAGAAGGACCAACATCCGCATTTCCAGTTGCTTTCGAGTTCAAGACTTTTGGGATATCTGGAACATGATCAGATTGCAGATTAAGAGTGGTAAGTATTCCCAATACATCCATGCTACACATATTGAAATTTCGCATGTTTAGACCCAATGGAAAAAGAGGTAATAATGAAATTGACTACTAACTGTGGAAGCATTCAGCCGAAGACTTTTGAGCGCTACTGTATGTCAATGGAACACAAAACGCTTTCAGTCAGCAGGAATCAAAGTTAATGAAGGAGGAAAAATGTCGGTGAAAGGATGGTTTGTTTGGCTCAGCATTATACTTACTTATACTTATACAGCTCGTCTTCACTCATGTGCGAGCACCAGCAACAAACCATTCGCTTCTGTCTTTCGCGATCGCCATCCACGGTAGATTCAGGATTCGACGAAAATGGCGATGTGAGGAGTCATTCAGCTGCTGTCGCAGCTGTTTCACGTGATCGACAAGCACATCCCCCCATCTCGCGGCAGGCAGGCCTACTCTTAGCCGTTCAGACATGCAGACGTGCCGTTGAACTATTAGATATATATAGATATTTATATAAATATTAATTGAAAAATGATGGAGGCTCCAGCGCAAAACTCCGTCGACCAGTAGGAAATTTGGGCGAGAGTTTTCGGACCATACAAGCCGACATCTGATGGTAGTGACGAGAGCATGTGGCAGGGCGACTCAGCATTATAAAAGAACCAAGGAGGGATTGTGAGCCAAGTCAGAGAATACCGTAGCTGTTGTCACTACATATAATTGTAGTTACTCTTCTCAGTCGTCAAACATCAAACATGAGTAAAATTTTACTCTGACAGCTTCTGTAATGTTATATTCGGGTGTCAAAACAAAAGATGATTTGAGTCAAGAACAATGGTCACATAAAGGAGGAAAATCTGTACCGTGAAGAGAGCTTGTTTCCTCTTGATAATCCCGTTGTTTTCTTACTTCTTTAGAGTGAAAACAACGAGATATACCCTTTATATTTTACTCATGTTCTCAGCTTGAAGTCACAGACATTCATGCAATGACGACTTGATGAATACAGAGATCCTCGGTTTCTATGATTTCTCCAAATAAAGCTAAACAAGTGGATGACCTTTTTGAAAAAGGTGAATTGCTGATTTACACTCAGAATAGAAGCAACTGGACAGTCTAGAAGTATTGCAGTCTAAATTTGAAATTCTACGCGCTTACTTTGGATATATCTAAAAGAGTCCCTACCAGTTCTCAAAAAAGGACTATGGATTTCTTGCATCGTCACACTATGTAGATCTTTTTTTACCGGAGATACTTGTAAATCGGTCGCTACTATGATAAAATTGAAATCTTATGGATCCCTAGTTTTTGCGCAATCGAGTGCCTAAAGGTAAGTGATTTTTCGAAGTATGGAATTAAATTGAATCTTGGGCAGCTCAGGCCATGTTGATCGCTGAGCTCTTTAGAGTTCTTCCAGCGATTCAGTACACCTCGTTGCGGGACAGCAAATAGTACGTTTAACCCAATGACGACCGCGTGGCCCGCCGGTGGGCCACACCATATCGTACTACTGTAGTATTTATATTATTATCAAGTGTTCTTATGATTTTTTCATGTTTTCAAGTATCAGCTGCGCTCCCAGAGTTCTAAAGAATCTTGAGACATTGTCGTCCAAGAATCATCATTTCTAACTACAGTTATAAGAGAAATTAAAAGTTAATGTAAGGACCGTATAAAAGGCGGGGTCGCCAATGGGTTAATACATCGCGTGGGTCTAATGGGTTAATATATGACGTGGGTATTATAAGGAATGCAAGTACAGTACTACCGGTCTGATCAAATGTCTCGCTCAACGTTCCTTTTCTTTCCCCAGAAACACTACGGCCTAAAAATGCCGAACGGGATGCGCATGTTTGTGATTCGTCAGACCCGACGTTTCTGCTATCTGTGGGTTAATAATCAGCAATATATAGTTGAAAATGTAATTGGGTTG